ACCTCTCGATCCTGTCACGGCTCTGCCGTGAAAGGGGGAGGGGCTGGATTCCCCTCTCCCCGATCTGCCAGCGCTGACTGGCGGAACGGGAGGGGGCGGGTACAGCTGGCTCTGCCTCTAGATAGGCAGAGCCAGCTGTCACTCACGCAGCTGGGCGGATCCCGTCATCTAAGTCGGGATCCGCTGCGGCGTCTCAGTATACCGCGAGCTGTAGCTCCCTATATACTGAGCCTAGGGTGACGGGGAGGACGCTAGTTTGTGTCCTCCCCTGAGGAGAACTATGGGGAAAAGACCTGACCCCATAGTTATCCTTTTAACCATTTTTTTTATTTTTTCTTCCAGGCCTACAGTGCAAAAACTAAAAGCTTTGAAGACCCGCCCAATCATGCTCGTACTTCCATGAACAAAGGGAAAGGAAAAGGCAAGGGCAAAGGTACTGACCCATTTCACTTGTTAGTTTTGCAGAAGGCTGAAAATCTGCCCGCGCCTCAACTTGTTCCATTCTTTTATAGGGAAGGGGAAAACTTCTGCTCAGTCCGAAGATCGAAAACCAGCCGATCAGCTGCCTAAACTCCGAACGCTGGACGTGTTCTCGGGCTGTGGCGGGTTGTCTGAGGGCTTCCATCAAGCAGGTGAGATTTCGATGCTCTACCTGTAGACATCCCTGCAGGAGCATGGTTCCTCTGTGCTTGCGTGGCTTTCCTCCGGTTTCCTCCCACACTTCAGACATGCTGGAAGGTATTGGCCCTGTGTATGCATATGGGACAGGAACCTTTAGATTGTAAGCTCCTCAGGGGCGGAGACTGTATATGGATGTGCGCTGTGTAAAATTGTTGGCGCTGCATAATTTTCCTGTCACCAATGTTGAAGCTGCTGGAGATTAATCGCATGGGGGGCTTCTAGTTAGGGAGGAGCTGTCCTCGGGTCAGCCATGCTGGTGCCACACAAGGTATAGGGAGGCTTCCAGAGGGAATGCGGAAGTGAATGGCTTTCTCATAAGGGAAATCTTGCAGCATGTGGAAGGAGTGCGACTAGAGAAGACCAGATTGGCTGGAGAAGCATTGGCAGTCCAGGCAAATGGCAGGATCAACCGGCAAAGGAAGTTCAGTTTTAGAGATGTCAGTGTTTTTCATGGACAGGAAGTCTTGTGCATTCCTCCACCTCTCCCTAAATTCCCCCTAAACCTTCTGCAGGGATATCCGAGACCAAGTGGGCCATAGAGATGTGGGAGCCGGCCGCCCAGGCCTTCAGGCTGAACAATCCTGGCACCACGGTGTTCACTGAAGATTGTAATGTTCTTCTGAAGCTGGTCATGTCGGGAGAGAAGACCAACACCCTGGGCCAGAGGCTGCCGCAGAAAGGAGATGTGGAAATGCTGTGCGGTGGCCCTCCTTGTCAAGGCTTCAGCGGTATGAACAGGTTCAACTCCAGAACCTACTCCAAGTTCAAGAACTCCCTAGTGGTTTCCTATCTCAGGTGAGCGGCTCGGATAGAACCTGATAACATGGTGTAGAACGCTCCGTGGGTGTGACTGGACATCGCTCACCTGTGTATCTTCTCTTGCAGCTATTGTGACTATTATAGACCCAAATACTTCCTGCTGGAGAACGTCAGGAATTTTGTGTCCTTCAAAAGCTCCATGGTGCTCAAGCTCACTCTGCGCTGTCTCGTGCGGATGGGTTACCAGTGTACTTTTGGAGTGCTCCAAGTAAGTGTTAAGCCCAACCTTCATCATAGGGGTGTGTTAGAGCTCATCGCTTTATA